TGCTGTATACGAGTACAACAGACTTCCCTTTGGCTGGAAGAATTCACCAGCCTGGTTCCAAAAGATGATGAACGAACTACAAAGCCCATTTCTAGGAAAGTTCTGTAACGTCTATATCTACCACATAATTGTATATTCAAAGAGTCAAGAAGATCACGGTCGACATCTGGCATCCGTGCTGGAAGCTTTGAAAGGGGCACATCTTAAGATCAATGTAAAAAAGAGTGAATTCTTCCAAGGAAAGGTTGTATTTCTTGGTCGGAACTTTAACGGAAGGTCTAAAACTACCAAGCAAGAATCCGTTGCTCGGATCTCCAGCCTTCCAAAGCCCTTTGACGTCCATTCGCTTAGAGTGTTCCTTGGGCTTGCCGGACATTTCAGGCCTTTCATCCAGGATTTTGCAAAGAAGACAAGGTGCCTTACGCCACTAACGCAGCATGATGTACCATTCGAATGGTCCAACGAGTGTGAAGAATCGTAGCAGCATCTAGTGCAAACGATTTCTTCTGATCCTGTGTTGATTTTACCCGATTTTGACCTGCCTTTTGAACTGAACATGGATGCGTCCCACTATGGTACAGGCGCTGTTCTGTATCAACGTAATCCGACAAAGCCAACATCTCAACAGCTCCCTGTCGTAGGGTATCACTCATATACTTTTTCTAAGCCTCAAGTAAATTACACAACAGAAAAAGAAGCCCTAGCTGTTCTTAAGGCCGTGCGATACTTTCGCTCGTACCTCGGGGGCCACAAGTTCAAACTCTTCACGGATCACCAAGCATTAACGTTCCTCCTATGCATGACTGAACCGAAAGGAAAAACAGCTAGGTGGATAAACGAACTCCAACAATTCGAGTTTGAAGTATTTCATTGGCCAGGAGTTCACCTTAAAGATGCAGATGCATTGTCTCGTCTGTCGATTTCTGAGATGAGGCATGATACGGAGGAGGTCTTCTACACTTGACTGTGGGAGGGAACCGAAGATCTAACTTTCAGCTATGTAAGTTTCAAGTTCCAGTCACAGCTGTGAGTTCCATTCTCAGGCTATACCATGATAATCCAGAATCAGGTGGCCATGATGGATTTTGGAAGACGTATAGTAAACTGGCTCACCGATTCTGCTGGCCTGGAATGAAGCAAGATATCTACCAGTATGTGCGTTGGTGTCATGGATGACAGATAAACAAAGCCAAGCAGAAGCAACGATTCAATGAGATGACTTTGCCAATTCACTCGGATTTCCCTTCCGAAGTAGTTCATCTGGATTTCGCCGAATTAAGAAAGAAGGGTGATGGAGTGGCTAGAACCCAAGCTTTTCTTAAAGCCATAGATGAGTGTACGCGCATCGCTGCCTCAAGAGCAGGAAAAGAAGACGCAAACAGCGTCATTTCAATGCTAGAAAGGGACATGTTTTAGAACACCAAGGTGATTGTTTCGGACAATGGTCCTGCGTTCCGGAGTAAAAAACTGGAGCAATGGGCAAGATCCAGGGGAATCGAACTGCGCTTTGCTGCCCCATATCACCCGGAAGCGAATGGCCTCGCAGAACGACTGATTCGAGACTTGAAGCAGTACTTGTTTATGTACCCGAGCTTCGTCGGCGGTTGGAAGTGTGCCCTTGAGGCAGCAGTGGCCCATCATAACCGCTCACATACTACAGCCCTAGGCTGTAGTCCCAAGTACGCGGCCTTCGGACTTACGCCTTACTTGCCGGCAGATGTACAACTTGGCATCAAAGATGATCTAGTGCTGACAGAAGAAAAGAAGACCTATAAACAGCAAGAGCTCTATAGGAAAAGAATGAAGAAAAACTTTGACAAAAGATTTCGTTCAGTCCCTAACATTCAAGTGGGCGATTTTGTCATTGTTAGGAAAGGCATCCATGGAACACACACAAAGTTTTCCGGGCCCTACCAAGTGACGAAAACGACTACCACGCAAGGTACCCTAAAAGTCATATGGTATACCACTTCAACAAATGTCACTGAATGCGCCACCATCGGAAATGTGTTTCCATATCATCCCAGGGGGAATGAGTAAAAAAGGTTGGTATAATGTGACAGCTAGATGATGGACATAAAAGAAGAAGAAACCAGGCGGAGCAGGGATAGAAGAAGAAAAAGAGGGGGAGTCATAGAAATGGCGGATCGAGTAAAGCACTCTTTCGTAAGCTATCTCGAATTGTATTTGTAGAACGTTACATAACATACGCACAAACAAACATTATACCTGCTTTAAAATCGATTGCCCGAAATTATTATAATTTATTATTTAATATGTTTTATCAGCGGCCGAAAAAGTTTTCCCCGCATTGTTGAACGTAAGTGCCAAAACGACCAATCCTTGGACAGCAATTTGCACACGTATTAATTACGAAAATATTATCACTTCACTTTTATATGTATTTAGCATAAGAACGGTGTAAATAATGAGAAGCTTAAACTTGATAGGCGAGGCAGTAGTTTTACATATCGATCTTTACATTCGATCTCCACCTGACTTTACACAAAACAAACGCGTACGTATTGTGATTAGTATTGCAACATTGAAATGTGCACAGGCTGGCATTACGGAACCACGACGCCATCCTTCAAGATGGCGTCGTGGGCTAGTTTTCTTTATAATATTATAGTCTTATAATATTTTGCCTAGAGTTCCTGTATTCGCGACTCCAGCGACCTATAGGGGGCGCCACCACCAAACAAACATGGCGGCTGAGTCCAGGTCGCGTCGGCTCGGCCGGGCCGCCTGAAAAGGCGGCGCGTTCAACTTAACAGATTTTCTTCTGTTTAATGCCCAATTTTATAGGTATTTGAACTGAGACGGCTAAGTGTAGCTGGTGCAGATAAACTTTCAAACCATAGTTTTGTTTTGCCGGTGGTTTTTGTTCTTTTCATGTCAAACTTTCGTCTCGGCGATTTCGTTCAAAAGCGAAACTATGGGCTCCAGAGGGGCGGTAATTTAGTAATCAGTTGGGCTCCGGAGAGGCGGTGATGTACTAATCAGTTTTGATCATCTAAGGAAAGCGGCGATGACTACAGAATTGTTCCACAGTGAGTAACTTTTCAGCTAACTCGCATGCCTCGACCATGCGACTTATCTGTCCGCGAAATCGAGCTTTTCTGCGTATCCGCGTTTAAGAAACAGCTCGAGTCGTCTGCTCGGTCAGCAACATAGGCTGCAGGAAAATTACAAAAAATAAGCAAGCGCTTTTTGAGCCAAGGACAATGTTGACCCGCTGGCGCCCCACTAAGCAGCTGATACTCGTATTTCAATTCAGGTTTTAGTAGCAATCGAGAAGTCATTTCGACGAGCGGGTTGTGTATTATATTACGTACTATGTCCCACTAAGGCGATATTAGTATATCCTTCGGGTTAAAATATGAGCTTAGTTGACTAGCTATTAGGTGAGCTGCTGAATAAAAGTATGTTTTACAGACACAGAGGTATTACTTAAACTTAGCCAAATGGTTCTATAGCCGGCAGCACGGAGACAAACTGAAGAGAGTCTTCATCGAACATTCACGCAGAACCTCTCTGCATTGAACTTTGCTTCGAATCCTGAACGGAGAAAATGAGCATTTTTTGTGGCCTGTCAACCTGACCAATGTAGACGTATTTTGCTGCTGGCTTCGACGTCCTCGTAATATAAATATTGGAGGCGCGATAGGTCAAAATGCCGTGACAACATCTAACGTATCGAGACTCGTCCCCCACCTTTTGAAAACAGATAATTTCCCTCATCCATCATTTGCAGCGAGCAGGTTTTCCTGAATCAAGTGATTGCGAAATCAGGCCAACTCCTTCAGTGTGGTCCAGAGGCGTTTTCGGCGGAAAGCAGCCAAGATGAATAGCCAACGCACCGACCGGCGTGGGTGGCTCAAACTTGAAGCTAAGCGAACACAACCAAACTCAAGAAAAGCAACTATCGAACCTTCCCATTCACTTGACTGCAACATTGATGTTCCCTCCAGTGAAAAGCCCGTCTGTCGTCCTCAGTCCACTGTTCTACATCATTATAAAGAAACCACTTATCAGTTACCAAGTAGTCGTCACTTTGAATGTGATTCAAGACAGACAAGAAATCAAAACGTTTTTTCCGTGATTCCTCCCCATCAAATCGAAAGCACGTGACCGTGTGTTGTGGAGTAAACGGGCTTTCAAAGAAAACAATCTACTGAGGCTCCACCACACTAATGATCACTCAGGCAAACTTAAGAAATAATCGGACCTTCGTCAAATTACATTGCTCGCCACCGCGCCGACTACAGGCCTCTGCGAAAGCCACCACTTGGAGAGACGCGGAGGGGCGCGGAGCGACCTGGACCGGCTGGTTCCCGGTTTTCCCTCTTGGTGGCGTCCGTTTTGCTGTAGTCGCGAATAGGCTCCCTACGGGAGCCAGAGTTGTGCGTCTATTTTTCACGTGCCGCCGCGCCGCTATTCGCCGAGATCCGATCACGTGAGGACCTGGATCAAGTGCCGTGCAGGAAAGAAGACGCCGCGCGCGCCCCAGCGTACGTTCCCCTGCTTTTGAGCGCCGCGCGCCTCGAGCGCGCGGTGCCGCTATTCGCCGAATTCAGTCACGTGAGGGGTAGACTCCGCATGCCGTGCAGGAAAGTGAACGCTCCGGGGGTAAACGCGCAACTGTGGCTCCCGTAGGGAGCCTATACAGGAACTCTAACTTTACCGAAATGCTATTTTGTTTGGCAATTTAGAGCCAGCGTACCCTCTCTTTGTCAAAGAAGTCCAATTATACCTTCCTTTTGTGTGATCTTTTGTGTCCTAAATTGCCAGACAAAAACCGAAATCTTAACCAAAGAACTGTTCTAGGGGGGGCGTTTCCCTGAAAATCACAATAATTTCTAACCGCACGAGAAGACAAAAAATAGCAAAATAACTCAATGTTTGAATCGTTTGCTTATTAAACACTTGAAGTAAACGTAATTGATCTAACGTAAAAGTGCACGTCGTATTCCCGGCTTTTCTCAGAGTATGCGTACCTTCATATCAAGCATGTCGAGCATGTCGATGAACCGATTAGTCTCACTTTGTGTGATGAGAATGTAGGTGGCTTTGCTCTCTCGAATCCTACGAAGAATATCATCTGAAAATAAAGCTGAATGAGGTTGGTATTCACTAACTCCATCACCGGTCAATGCTCTCCCCGCGTACTCACCCTGTCATCGACTACATTTAATGTTTTATTACACGTAGCTATAGAGGAAACAAACACCGTGTAGAAGACTCACGCCGCACATAGTGCGTGCAATTTATGATATGAATGTGTCGCATTTCTTCCGACGCGTGCGCCTTGGTAGGCCTCACCTACGGAGCACGGCCGGTCGCTGGTATCGTTGTCCCTCTAGCTGCTTCTGAGAATTCGTTGATCTAATAGCCGTGCCGCGGGGTGTACTTTAGAGTGTGCCTGTCTTTACCATTGCTGCGTAAAATCCAGCCGCGCTCGGCGAGTGCGCAGAAATGCGCCTGAAGCGAACGACGTTCTCGGTCACATTGATCTGATGTATCCTTCACTGATTCCAATGCAAGCCACGCAAAACTTACAATTATTCCGCTTTATGAACGCAGTGTTTGTATTACGTTTTGCCGCACACAATTATTTCTTAATATACATTTAGTGATTCTGGAGAATGTCTGCCGTTTTTATGGGTTATTCTAATGAGAGCTGGATTGTTTTTTTGAACTCCGAAAATATAACGCACGTTCCTCTCAGAAACGCGGGACGTGGTCTATGATGTGCATGCTTTCAGCCTTGTGATTTAAACTTCAGGTATGTTATCGCCCAATGCCGCAATCTTAGCGTCAACGGAGATATAATAAGGGTCACGTGACTCGCCACGCACAGCTTGTCTTATGCGGTCAGTTACTATAAATACATTTAACTTTCCTAAACTTTATTATTAGTAACAGCCGCTATCTCTATTCCTTACCATTTGTCAAAAAGGGGTCCGACACCACAGCAACTGCTCCGGCAAATACGATGCTGATCATGGCAATGATGTTTTCTGCGGAATTATCCAGGTGTACTAGGACTCTCTCGCCTTTAGTTACACCGTGTCCCTGAAACCCAGCTGCATAACGCTGAAACGTCTTGAGGAGCTCTTCAAAAGTGATCTCAAGGTCGTCCCAGACCTAAAACGCACGTTTGAATTAGAATTTGGAAATCTGTTCGGAAAATAAACTAAAATACTACACAGAGATTGCTCCCAAAAAGGGCGCCCTTCCTAGAATTGCCACCGTTAAATACGCATCAGGTTTAAGGGAAAATTATTAGAACTTCAAATAAGCCTTCGTTTCCTATCAAGTAAATATAACGGAAAGTATAGCCTTGCAGTTTTTGCTAATTGTAATTCTATGAAAGGCTTCATGTACGAGGATGCAATTGTAAGAACGTCTACAGGACATCGGTTACAATTCTTTGCATACTGACGTAATTATAATGAAAATATAACGAAAAACACTACTGAATGAGTAAAGTACTCTGTTAAACAACAAAAATACCTCCAGTCATCTTCAACACACCACGAGTAACAACTTCAAAAAGCGCGCGTATATGACACAGGCACCCCGAGAGCGGCTCGGAAGTTGTAACACATACAGGTTCAAGGTTTAACTGAACTTTTGTTTTTTTTACAAGAAATCGTGGAAAAAGTGTAGCTTGATGACTCATGCGCAGGGCGTTCGCCTATGTGGAGAGCAAGTTCGTCCGCTTCTTGAACACGGCTTGCGATGATGTCAAAACGACGAGTTCTTACTGGCTGAATGAAAATAAAAATAGTGGGTAGACCTAGAGGCATCTAGTCTTAAGGTATACCCACTATCTTTCGATAAGAGCCAATCAGAGCTCGTCATTTTGTCGTCACGACAACCCCTCCAAAAGAAGCACACGAGCTTTCGCTCCGCATAGGAAGCTCGCAGGTGGAACAACTGAATATAATCCCTGCCGTTCTCATTGTCAGTAACTCCAATATTCAAGGGTTTAGAAAGCAACGGTTTTGTTTAATCGATTGCTGACTCATATGAAAATATGAAGGGTGTACGGTCCACGCAGAAATATATGAAACAGAGAGTTAAACTCGCTCATAAGCTTACCAGGGCCTTTCGGTTGCCATGTTCCACAAGGCATTGCTTTACAACCTGGTAAATTGACATTTCCGGCAAGGGTTCCGATGGGTACGGCGAATAAACAATGCCATTTTCAATTCGGGCCTTGAGTACCATCTTTTGAAATGTGGGTTAGGATGTATATATCTAGAATGAGACATATTTATTAAGCGTTATGTTTCATTTGTTTAAGTAATCACACGAGTAAATATTAAAATAACCTTTGTCTTTTGTGGGGATATCCCTAGACTTAACATGTAGTCACATCCCCAACTTCAGCAATGGTAGTCAGGGAAGAAAAATGACTCCTAAGCACTCTTATGAGTTGTGAATGCGAAATCATTAATGTCCAATTGAACGGCAGCCAACGATATAGATGCTTCAGACGCCCCCGTGTTACTCAGCGCCAAGACGAGCAAAAGCGGCCGCAGCGCCTCCAGGAAGTGCGGCGGTGCGCAGCGCAGATCGCCCTGGCTTGCTGGCGACTGCTGTGCCGATGGGTGAGGCAGCGGAGGGAGTGCGAAGCTCGGCGTGGCGCGTGCGGAAATCACGTGTCCTCTCATCACCATCATCGCCCCGGCTGCGGGTACCGGTAGACGACGTTAGACCTCAAAGCGTAACGATAGGCCGAACGTTAGGTGTAATGCATAGAGTTATTATAATGTACGCTAGAGGTTCAAGTGGCGCTAGTGTGCTGACGCAAATTGAAGCAGACAGCAACCAGTCTAAAATTGACTTCCGGTAATGCATTTCTATGGGAAAAAGTGAGTGCATTTTCTCTCTGCGCTCGATCATAAGAGCAAATATCCCGAATAATTCGTACGTACTAGGTAGCTTGGAACATTTCTCAGTCAGGCTGACGAAATAATTGGTCAGTTACGGTGTTTTTCTTTCAAATTCATCGCATTAAAAACGGTGCTAAAACAGCTTCGTACGTGTATTTATGTGCACTGTCGGACACTGTTAGCGCGAACACGACGTCGGCGCTTTTCAGCGTGGGGGATATACGTGCCAAACGAACGAAGAACATCTGGAAATTAAGAAAGACGGCAAGAACTACGCAGTAACACCGGATCAGTAACTACACGTGCATATACGATCAAAATTAATTGAAGGCCACGTAATCTATTCCTATTTTAAATAAGTAAGTACCGTTTTATTCTTTCTGCTCTGAGCTCAGCTGCTTGTTCTACGTTCAAAATATCACTCGCACGCTTGAAATCTCTGAGAACAAGTGCCCGATAAAAGCTGTCCGGCAGAGAAAACAATACGAAGAGACAACTTTTATAGCCCACAGACTTCATTCTCTACGTTTTGAACGTTTTTATCCGCTCATGCACGACGCACGACGGGGTCATTTTTATATAGTGACAGGACTGGCAGATTATCAATATATAAGCGTCACCGGATTGCTGGCGAGCCTTGAATACACTCTACATCCCTTTCGATTGTAATTTTGCTTCGAATCGTCGCTTGTTTTTACACACCTGCTGCGGAACACACGTTTGGGACTGAAATGTAGCGAAGTTAAACATCGGTCACCGATGAAGAAAAATGCGCTAACTAAAGCAATTACACTTTTACAGTGTTAATCAAGGTACATACTATTCGGTACGACCCAAATAACCAAAGTGTTCCGTGTTATTTTCCGGCGAAGAGACAAAATGCACGCGCGCTTTCCCATAGGAATACACGGGAAGACTGGAAAAGTAGACTGGTTGCTGTCTGCTTCAATTTGCGTCACGGAAGTCGCATAGACACTAGCGCCAGTTGAACCTCTAGCGTACATTATAATAACTCTATGGTGTAATGTCAGGCCGGTGCATACCCACGTCCCCCCTGCTGCGCTGCCAGCAGTTCGGCTGGCTCCTTAGCAACGATGACGCCGTTGCCATGGGGTCGCATGACGCGACGCAGCTAAATGGATATTTAGGTGTCGTTTCGCTCAGCCAATGGGAATTTATGTCCCGACGGTCCCGTTTTTCGCTGCTACAGACAACGGCTACAGACAACGCAGGCTTCGCTCCATGGGACCAGTTAATGCTTTCGCATTAAAAACTGAAGCCGTGAACTGGAGAAATGTAGGGCTAAAATATTTTAATAAATTATCTGCGTGCCCTCGCACAAAGGACTCGAAGTGCTACATGCACGTATATGGTATTAAAGTGCGGTTTCACTATGTGAATCTAGGTTTCACTATATGAAGTGGGAACTGGATTTTACGGTATGACTACATACAAAAATTAAAATGCATACCGCGTAGCTAATCTCCCCATAACCACAACTCGCATTAATACGCTTATCACGACGTGATAGAAATCTCTGAATACTCAAAGATGATTGCCACCTGAGTTCTTAGTCGTTCCATCACGCGTTGACAAAGACCGTCAGTCGCCACACATTTTCTTTCCGGATTCCCATCACTATGCACGTCTGTTCGTCCTCCCCTAAACTTCTCGCAGCTTCTTTCGTGCACATCGCACGTCGGCAGCCAAGACTGACGCTCTCGTTCAAGCGTAATGATATGGCAGCGAAACTGCAGGCGGCAACTGTCTTTGGGGAGGTCATTCAAAAGCTTGTGCCATACCATGGAAAGTGCATAAAAGTGCACGGCGGTCACGAGGAGCATTAGCCATAGGATGTTCCTAATGTTCGTGTACATTAAATCATGTTTATCGCACTCGTTTATTTCCTATTTCCTTTACCCACTTATTTGGAGGTTAAAAAGAAAGATATCTCGTATGCTGCACTAGGAACTCTCTAAAACCAACTAGGGATACCGCCATTTTAAACACGCATAGCACAAACTTACGAAGATATATCGATGAAAGCCTCTTTTTGTCTGCCACTCGGATGGGTGAAGGTGCAAAAAATAGACGTGTCGAGATTTCTGCGCAGGCACGAAGTGGACTAGAGTATGATATACAGGCCATTTTTATTTCCCTGGACCTCAGCCAGAGTGTTTACGCATCCGGTATGGGGGAGGAAACCAAGCGAGGCATCACAACAAGAAAAACTGTAAAAATATATAAAAAAAAGCAAAACGAAAAGAATTGACAATAGCGATAAAAACGTGGAGACCTTTCAGCAGTCTCTCAGGGCAAAATAACCTTTTCCCCCCACAGGATGTTCCATCATTACAAATAGTGACGACGACGCAAAAAAGAAGTTAAGAGCCAATCGATTACCGCTGCAAGCGAGCCAAAAGCAAAGTACATGCAAGTGGTATACCACCTGTAGTCTGTGACAGGTTGAGAGTTCTGGAACCAGAGCGAGGGAGAGGAAGGCAGGGGAGGAGGAAGCAGGCGGAATGCTGGCGCGAGTGGGATGTTTCCTCCTCTCCAGGCAATGCATCTGCTTCTCCCTCCCCAGCCATCCTTTTCCTAGTCCTGAACTCTTAACATGTAACCGACTATAGTTATAAAAACGAGGGACCTCATCTTAACCAAGGTTGGGCGCAGTATCACGACGGTGTGCCAGATATACATTTCGTACCTGTCTTTTCGTGTCGCGGCTCAATTTATCACTAATATATTTCATTTTACTTACTTATACTTTACACCTCCTGGGGTTCTCACGAGAGTGTAAAGATGTACACAAGCATAAAAAAAGAAGAAAAAAATAAACACTTTGCAGAATCAGCAAAGAACTATTCTGCACTAGAGGCACATATCAATATAATATTAAAGCAAAAGCTGCAGTGTATAGGCAAACGTGAATATATATATATATATATACAAAAAGTTTTCCAACTCTTTCCACAATCCACCAGAATAGTACTGCTGTAACGCAAGACCAAGCTCACCAACCGTTATTACGCTAAGAAATGTAATACACAAATGACATAGGAACCCCAGGGGATGCAAATGTGATAATTTATTTTTAGACAGGGCGGTTTCACTTCTTTACATTTCATTCATTGTTTCCGTAAGGCCCGCAGGCATTCACGAGGGGGAGAGCAGGAAAAATATGGAAAGTAACAAAATACAAATAACAGATTAGACATTGGGTACAATAACACTATTATTAATGGCAGTCCCAAAAAGCTCAGAATCGATTATATTTTCACTTGTACCGGGAAGGTGGTTCCGATCCCACGATGTACGGGGGACGAGAGATGAACGAAACGCTGTCGTTGTGAAACATGGAACACTAACATTATGCTGATGATCGGGACGAAATACAAACAGGGAAAGGTGTGGGGTAATGAATTGATTGCGTACAAAAAATTATTAAAATCAATCTTATTCAATAAATAGAGATTTTGTTTTACACAGGCTGCGTGTTGCCAATGCACGAACCTAAATGAAACATACTCCACGGTCCACTCAAATTCTCTGTGGACATGCTTTTCGGGTGCGTTCTTGCAGGTATTACAGACCGGGCGTCACTTGTCTTGTTGCCATGAGAGAATACTTTTTGCCCTCGAAACAAAAATTCAGGCTTGAAAATTGAGTGTTATTGCTTTGTCAGAAAGAAAGAAAGATAGTTTATATTTAAATCACTTTATTCCGTTGCTTGATAAAAGGACCGTTCCTCGAAAAAATGGTTTGTAGCAGGTATCAAGCACTTCGTCATATGAGTAATCACGCGTATAGCCGTCCAGTAACTGGCACGCCCTTTTTAGTGTCGTGTCAGTTGGAGCAACTTATTACTTTTTGAAAAGCTTTGCACAATCTAAGTAGAGAAGGCTACAAATAAATCTCGGGTGAACCCCCCTAAGAGTCAATCCCAGAGTGAGTGCCGTTTTGGTTCTTTTTTGACGGTTTCTAACTTTCTTCCTATATTTTCTACAGTCATAGGGTTAACGTAAAAATTAGGAACATTGTTTGAACTATAGTTTAATGTCTCAATATTATGATTATTTCTACTTGTTAGTTTATTTTTAAGTTTTTAGTAGACCACAGTCTATAAGATGGAACAATTGTTTCTATACTTGTAACATAGTGATATACATGATATTTTACGTGAACGGTCGCTTGGATGTTGCATCCAAGCGACCGTTCACTTAAAAAAAGTAAGCAAAGAGTTCTATAGAGAATCTATCACGTAATGATTATTACTGAACTTTAAATTGCGAAGCATCTTCTGAAATTACATTTTCCAGGACTTCCCAA